CATGTTATTGTAGTCCCGAAAGATGTCTTGTTGATATCCGCACACTTGGCCAAGCTTGTTAAGTTCAGTATATACAGTTTGTGTCTGATCCATGCAGGCGTTATTGAGCTGCCTGTCGCAGGTGCCACATGGCATGCCAACATGAAGGGGTCAACTAAAAACTACAATTTATGCATATTCTATCCAGCAGTCGTTTCGGTAAGAACTTTCAGTCGAATGGAACACTAAAAATACTCTGGAAAGTTGAAAAAAGGTATAAGCTTAGATTTGGAACGTCTCGCCAAATTGGTACTGGGGGAGGCCCTGGTACCATATTAAGATTCAAAAAGTTCAGAATTACTGCGTTTTGAAATTGAAGACTGGTTATAATACTGTCATTGGAAAAAGATTAGTTGCTTGCTTTGCACAGAGAAAGCAAAATGTTAAGACTCGTCCTCACCATTTTCAAATCATACGTGCGGCCGCATCTAGAGGTCTTCAATACGGTGGCTCCTCCAACACTCAAGAGAGACTCTAATCTCCTTGAAAGAATACAAAGAACTGCAACAAAATCAGTTGTGGGGCTAAGGGGAAAGACGTATCCTGAAAGACTTAAACACCTAAACCTATCTACCTTGGGTTGTCGCATGAAGAGAGGTGATCTTATTATGGCATACAAGATCCTCCATCAGGCAGACCATGCAAACAAATCAGTTTTGCCTGCAACCCAATGATCTTCACGAGGAAACCACATTAAGATGGCACACCAGAGAGCCAACACCATACTCAGGTCCAAATTTTTCTCCCTAAGAGTATGTGCTTTATGGAATGCCCTACCGTGACACATCGTTATAGCTCCTTCAGTTGACTCATTCAAGAGATGATTAGACGGTATGCCACCTCGCATGGACTACCACGGGCATACTCAGGTAGTCACCAACCTCATTACCCCCCGACTCCCCCTAACTACCAATCACTATCTCCCTCCTTAGTACACCCACATTACCTACTAATTCTTCTGTAGGAACCAAACCTATGCGACCATTCGCGCGATTCCCATACACTTTTCTCTCGTTCTCATTTCTCTTTTCACCCCTCCTTTTCTTCTCCTTCTCTCTCCTCTTCCCTATATTATGATTTTTTCCTCTCTTTTTTTATTCTCTCTTCATTCCTATTCTCTTTCAGGAAACTACACAGACAGGAGTCACGGCAGTTCTCTAAACTTCCCAGCAACCTATAGCTCCCCAATCACTCTACAAATTACAACTTACTAACCCACAAAACATCCACCTCACCGAAGCTAAAAGCGAGAAAGCAGAGGGGATTTCCTCGTCCACTGCTGGAGTGAACCGAACAACTCGAACCAAGCCCTAAGAACTAGACTCGAGAGATCAAAACTACCAGTTTTCTATGCTGGCACTATCAATATTGGAATATTGGATATTGTAAAGTAACTGTACCTCTGCAAGCTTCAAATAGATTTTTCCGTGAGACAGTCGCACTATCAAGAAAAATACAATAAAGGAATAATAAAACATGAATAGTTAGCGGAAAATAAAAATAACGACACACTACTCTTGTTTTTACCTCTCAATGAACAAAGTCGATTGGAAACTGACGCGTTTACAAATTCAAAACAACGGGATAAACGTGTTTTTTGTTCTTACCAAGGCATATGCTGTCTGATAGTCGTAAAAGAAGACAGAGCCGATTCAGTACACCAGAAGTCAATGAGTCTTTAAGGGATAAACAAGTTTGTTAGGTTAAGACGATTGGTTTATTTTGTTTGAAGGAAACTAAACGTTTGGACCGCGAGGCTAGAAAGGCACTTATTGACAGTCGTTATAACTTTCTGATTGATAAGGTTTCGCTCCATTTTAAGATGGAAAAAGGTTTTATTATAGATTGTCTTACGGATGGAGAACAGGTAAGGCCATCATTGTGCTATATGTTTTCAGGTTCATCTCATTAAAACATTTTTTGACCCTGGAGGGATAAAAGCTTTGTTATTTGGACTTAAATCGGAAAGATCAGGTAGGAATACTGTTACTGACTTCAGCTTTAAGATATTAATGAAAGGGTCGGTGTTTTTACTCGGCCACAAGTTTCTGTTAGACCGCGCATCTTTGTGTCCACAGGTACTGAAATGCACCATGCGGGGCCATGCGTTATATTTACGAGAGTCAATGCAGCAACTGAAGTTACAATGGAAAATATATCAAAGGTAGTGAAGTTAGATTTTAATTTCCTTGAGACTACATGAAGGTCTACAAAACGCTTCATAATTGTTGAAGTCGTTTTTTTATGTTGACCAATGATTTTATTTTTGCTGGCATAAAATGACAATTCTTTCCACTTTTACTACAAAATATCTGAATATTCACGTTTGTATTTGTTTGTTTGCGTATTGACGGGTTCTCGAAATTGTTTTTACCTTTTGCATGAGACCATTGGGATTTTCACAAGATTTTATCTGTTTTTTGATTTTACTTAGATCTACTGGACACTTGCATTAACATGGAAACATTTCACACTTATGTTATTAGGGAAACTCATACAAGCTTTTAGAAACCCTGTTCAGCCTATGGTTTAATATCTTATCCAATGCATAGCTCATATTTAAAACTCGTTAGGTGAAATGCCAGTTCTGATAACCCGTGGTTTATTTTCCGTGTCTTTTCTGAGATACTCTTTACTGACATCTATTTATTTCAGAATAACAGTTGTCAAACTTGAGATTCAGAATGCTCAAAACTCCTAAAGGAAAAATCTTAATTACTGTTTGTAGGAAAGCTTTAAGTCATACGCTGCAACAGATATGATTATATAAATTAAAGAACTACCATTATTTTATGATAAGATGGAAGAATTTTTGTTACAGTCGTTGTTTTGAATAACTTTAGATCCTCTTTTAATTGCACGCCTAATACTAACCCTTCACTGCTTGTCAGAAGTAAAAGTGAAAATTCTGCCGTTGCGAATAACAGCTTTTCACGGTTCCTTTCATTCAAAAATGTGCTATATTATATAGGTATAAGTTAAGTTGAGAAAACACTTAGCACATTGCTCCTTTATTCTTGTGCAGATAGTGGTTTATGTATTCGTGTCATACTTAAGTACTGTCACCATGAGCTGCGTCCTTTTTTATGAATTCCGACTGTTGTTTTGTATATGCTTACGGTTCACAATAATGCCAGACCACCGCAAACCAGTTATGCATACATAACCAAAGCAATGTATCCCTAATAAAAAGTTCTCTTCGCTGATTATTTGTCATTTTACAATACAGTCATTTTCCGCTATTGCCGGCTTGTTATTTATTATTCTTGTTACCAGTTTATGTTTGATTGAACAGGGGTGAATTGTTGTCATTGCTTTACTGCCTTGACAAGTAAATAACTTTGTTTTTTATATTATCTCTACGAAAACCCCGTATTCATAGGTGCTCATGTTGAAACAATGTAAATCTGTTCTCACTTCTGATCCATCCACATGAGAAAAACCATTTCCTATTTTACACTTGAGGCTAACAAGTTCATTTAGTTTTTTGATAGTGTGTGGCCGGAGCCTTCTTTTCAAGAACTTGAAACAATTAGTCCCCTTTATGAATTTGGATAATGTAATTAGAAGTAGATTGTCTGAAAAATGTGAAATATTAGCGCTATAAATTTCGAACAATCTGACCACACATTTACTTGTTAAGGCATTAAATATGAAAACTGGAAGTCGGGGAAGAAAAAATATGACACAAAGGAATTCAACAATAAGAAAGATAATGAGAAGGAAAAACAGGATAAGATTTGGAGAAAATCTTGGTAATACGGTGAAATAAGCATTACCAAAGTAGGCTTAACATAAGGAAAAACTGTTTTCGCACACACAATGGGGGGTTAAATTTATTTATGGCTAGCGCCTCAACAAACTTCAGTATACGCCCCTGACAGGTTCTATACAAAATTGTAAAGGCTGTTTTAACACATCAGATTTTTCAGATAATCTACTTCTTCTAATTACGTTATCCAAATTTGAGGTTGATTGTATAGTCCTTATTTATTATTTCTGGTAGATAACGGAGAAAATTGTGACTAGGTTGTAAAAGACGGGATTTCTATCCAAAGCTGTGATATGTGTAGTTAGTTGTTGAGACGGTGTAATGATGCAATAAGTGGCTAACAGTAATCGTATGAAGTGCATATATAAGGTTTTGGTTGCAACTGATAGCTATTTTTTAGAATATATTGCGAGTGAAACCACCGAAAACTGGGAAGCAATTTTAAATGTTTACAAATGTATGACACCAGGTCAAAAGCTTTCTAACTACCAGTTTGAGACGATTACACAGCAGTAGGCTAACTATCTGTTACTTGGTTTTCATATTTTCGTACTTTTACCCAAAACGTATCAATCTGGGTTTAAAAGTTTGAAGCACTACATCTAAATTGGAAACGTTTAGTCGAAGACCTTCAGCTGGATAGTCTGTTTGCATTTTATTTGTATACGTATGCTTCTTGTGCATTCACTTTCTCTGGGTTATATCCTCTACCTAATAACTGCCTTCTATTTTGATAATATTGTTTGATGATTATCATTATAGTGCAGGATTCATATATAACCCCATTTCGAATTCATCAGTGTTTAGAATCTAGTACTTTAAAAATTAGGCTGTTTTGTGTTGTGACTAAATCCATTTTTTTACTGTGATAAGACGTTGTAAAAACTCTTGTTTTTGGAAGTTTCTGTCATTCCCTCTTCCGATATTTTGATTTAAAAATAATTTTTAAGCTCTAAGGCATTGAGTTTTAAAAGTTTATTTGAAACATCAGGTGAAGGTTTGTTCAGAACAACTGTTACACACTCCATACTCAAAATTATGTTGCTCCATAACAGCATGCAAAGTAGGTTTTTCTTTGTAACGGGTAATTGGGTAACCAATGTTAAATGTTTTAGCAAGCAATAGATATTATTTTTTTATTTCACTGCTTATTTGCAAAGTATATTTCACACCTTTTGCTTTTATATAGGAAGTCAGTTTTCTGACGACGGATCTAAACGAGGATTTGCTGGATGCGTTTGGAAATCTTCTCAATTCTCTAATGCTACCACAACTTCAAACAGTTTCAGACAAGGCTTTTGTTGAAAACACTGTCCCAGTAGACGTAAGCAAATGGGGTTTAGTTGAGTATACCAAAAAGTTCGTAAAATTACTTGAAGAATCTTCAGAGTTCCTAGCTAATCGCGTAAGTGTTACAGAAACATATTTCCCTCTTTGACCGATTTGGTTACCAAAAACCTTTTTACAGCTTTGATATGCAATCTTAAGGCAGTTTGTGAAGTCATTATGATTGTTTGCTGATAACGTTTAGAGTTTGTCGTTTGTTAGCTGAAAACTTTTATGTCGGCAAAGTTGATAAACGCGAACGCTCAGAAATTTTTGGATTGCTTGGAGCGATACACGGTTAGGAGTGAAAAACAAAGCTGAAACAGTGAAAAGAACATCCGAATGTGAAAGAAAACTGTACTAGAATATTCAGTTTAGGGTTTATTACCAATTCTGGCACTCAATGTTCTCTTTCATCAGGCATAAATTGGAAACGGAAAGTATGGGGTTTTAATAATTATTTATTAGTGAATTACCGCTTATACTTTGTAACAGCTATACTATAACAATTATTTTGTGGTATCCTTCCATGCTCATAAGCTTGAGTTTTATTTATTAACATTGTTAGTTGCTCCATAGTGCAGATGTGGTAATCATGTAACCACAAATACGTCGCTATATTTTTTAGTCTGTCTAGTTTATTTTGGTTTTTGTAATTAAGTGAGTTGTGGTATCTCTTGAGTCGTGCGTATCAACTCAGGAGTAATGAAATATCGTGATTATCAAACGAAGCGTCTTCATCAATTGTTTTTGGCTCTAATAAATAATCGGTAGCTTAGTGTAGAAACCAGTGATTCGCCAACCGTGTTGAGTTCGATCAAAGGGCATAATGGAATATTTATCATTTAGCTACCACTCGAGTTTTACACCCAATTTTAGCACTTTTTTAATTATTCCTTTAGAGTGACCGTAACTTTGCATATTGCATTAATCAGTGTTATGCTGGCCCAAAGTTAAACTAAATCAGTATTTTACGATATTATGTTTCCTCAGTTAGTTGAAGACAGCACAAAGCTTTGCATCTGAATTTTTTTTGCCTTGAAAAAACTCATTGTTTAAAGGTATCCGAAAATCTGAGAACGTAATTGTGCATAGGAGGTTGAGATCTGCTCTACTCAGAGCTGTAGTAGCCTAGGTTGCGATTTTTTATTTCCTTATATTACCGGCTTGTACCCAAACTAATATGATAATAAAATTTGAGCTCTGTGTTGGGATATATTTTCAATACAGTGCTTTTAGATTTAGATCATTCAGTGAAACATTATTACCTGCTCATGATGTTTTGAGCAGAGTTTTATCTCATAGTCATATTAAAGTAATCACAGAACTCTCTGGTTTACTTTTCATCGTCCTCTTGTTTTTCATTCTTTGATTTGATTGGTAGTAAAATCCTCCCCATATCCAGCCTTTGTATCAGGTTTGAAATCGATAAGTTATGCTTCAGTTCTCAATATTTTCACCTACTTAAATTAGTTTTTAAAATAGTCGCTCCATCTTATTTTATTATTTAGTTAAGTATGACAGCATACATGGCTATGACTGAGCTCTTTTCTAGATTTCGTATCGTTTTAGGATCTTCCAATCTCTGTTTAGCTAAGCTTTTGGGCTCAAACAAACTAACTGACTGTGGTCAGCTACTTTGACCTTACATACATTATACCAAATCCGGTTAACCAGACTGTTTTGTTTGTAGGTTTGGTACGGTCCTTCAGCCGACAAGTATGTCTCTAGGCGAGTTTGTAGGTTTCAACACCACACTGTTCCCGGTCTTATTAGGAATCCCACATAGGGTTTCTGATATTTATTCTTTATACAGTAAAACTATAAATGTTCTTATATTCTTCCCAGAGGTTCCATTGTTAACTTTATTGATATTTGTGACCATTGTTTATGGTATTTTAGTGTGTTTCTGGAAAAACCTACGGAAGTGTTTGTTGTGTAATAACATGTCCTGCATATCTTTAATTTCTTGACATATATTTTCTGCATTACTAGTCAGTTTTCATATCCTGTTACTTATCGATTTGACCGAGCTTGCCTTACTTGACATTAGATGGGATGACCTTAAACCTCAGTATCGATCAGCATGAAAGGTTTTTATTGATTTCAGTGTCTGATTCTCCGTCGTGTCTTTGTTTGATTTCGCAGTCCGACATAAATAGTTCTTCTTCATTTTTTAATTCGCTTACGAATTGGATTTCATCAATCACTGAGTTTATATGTATAGGAATTGTGTCACTATGTTCTCATTTCAACACTGTAGTATGTCGCCCTATATTTCCACCATACTTTGGGAGTAGGATTAAATGTGTCTAAGGCAATATGTTACCAACTGTCTAAAAATATATCTGTTACACTCGGGGATATTAGTGATCCCATGAATACTTCTGTTTGTTTGTATATTTTATTCCGAAACTTGAAAACAGCAGGATTTAGGCCTGATTGCACCCCTATAATAATTCCTTTCGCTGGAACTCTGATTTTAAGTATGAGTTAATGGGCAGCGTTTAGTTTATTTGCGACTGCCTCAAAGGGCGTATTAGTTAGAGACTAGTTATATCAAAGCTAAACAGTTTTTCGTCTAATTTTTTGTCTTCTAGTCTTTTAGTTCATAAGAACTAATAAGCCTCGATTGTGAACAATTTCTGGTGGGGTCTGATAAAATTACTAAGTATTTAGATAGCTTATATGTTGTAATGTTAGTTAAGTTGACTATAGGTTTAGTAGGATAACCTGACTTATAAACCTTGATAGTTCCATGCGTCCTGCTGGGTTTATTAACTTCAGGTATTAAATTAAGTCATTTCGGCTCATTTAGAAACAGCTTTAGTTGGAGTATTTTATCAGCATTCAATTTATTCACTATTTTTACAATAGCATTGATTAGCTTCTTCATTTCTACATACGATAATGTTTAAATTTACTAGTTTCCTGCCTAATCGTAGCCGAATTTGCCTAGCATTATTGTTTGAGCTCCCTTTATCTGTTTGGCTATTATTATATCCCCATCATTTTGAAGGCTCCTTAAAGATTTATTTTCTTGCTTTATTAAATCTTGACTTATTTTATTCTACTTTCCTTGATGTTAATACACACTGTGTTTGTAAATTTTCCGCAGTCGCTTTATTCACTCAGCTCAGGTTTTGAAGTTTTCCACTGTGAGATCTAATTCATTTTGATTAACTGTCCTTACAATTTTATATTTCAGTTGTTCAGTGTTACTGCAAATGCTGTGGAAATTTCTAAAAATTCTGTGAATTTCTTCTTTAAGACATTTTACTGACAAATTCTGTCAGTACCATAAGTTTGTTCGTTGGAATTAAGTTATAAAGATGTGGATAGTTAGGAATGATTTGATTTCTAATACATTGAACATTAAATATACTATGATTTGTGAATTTAGCTTCCGTTCGTGAGAGTTGTATGGGTTTATTGACCAGTTTTCTGACTGTGAGACTGTAAGTTTCATTAATATGAGAATAGAGTTTGGACATTGTGGTAGAGTATAGTTTTATTATGCACCAAACAGTGAAACAATAGGACTAGAAAAAGTTGACCAGAAAGTAATTGCCTGGGTATGGTTATGAACAATAAATTCTGCTCGTAACGTTATCAGTCGAGAGTACTGCTTTCACTGCGTGATACATGTAAAACAGAACTACTCTGGAATTTCACCCAAACTGTTATTTCATGTTGTGGCAAACTGAAGGACATTAGTTTTGCCAGGTACAAAAATGACCCATTCAACCTAGAAGAAGATCACTTGAAGGTAAGAAAATATTAAATACATGAATATTTAGACGTGATAACACTCTAAATGTATTTACCAACCACCAACATCAGTTGCACTGAATAGGGCACATTGAAGAACATTAGAACCACTTATTACTATTTATTTATATACTTGTTATTCTCCACTGTTATACTGGGTCGAATTGATTGACTTCTTTTGGCGTATGGACTCATCTGCGGGTGCCTAACTATTGCCTGAATATTTATAATTGTTATCATTGGCTTGCTTCTAGTTAGCAGTGGAATCCAGGATGTGCGTTTCACCCTATTTGGGACTCGTCAGCTGGATGCATCTGCACCCTAGTGAGTGATGTTGTTCCTGCTTAGACTCAAACCTCGTACTTGTCGCCTCAAACTCAAGGTCTCAATGGCCTTCTGGATAAGATCTTGGCGTTTGAAGCGATGGGTAAGAGATTTAAGTCTCAGTGGGAGCAGCATCAACCACCGAGATGCAGGTAAATTCAGCTGACAAGTCCGAAACAGGAGGATATACGTGTTTTAGATTTATCTACTGGCCTAAACCAAGTAAATTATTAAAAAAATTTGGTGATTGATGGACAACAAAGATTTTGGGGTAGGTTATACAGTCAGTATTCTGTGTAAATCTAATTGTGCTTGTAGAAGCAGTAATCATATCTGCGTACATTTTAATCTCAATCATACCTGAAGTATTTTCTTGGGGATGAATAAATTCTTTTATCGCCATTTATGATCACTATATTCCTAGCTGCGAATTTGGATCTCGTTTTTACGGTTACATATCGTAGGTTAGGATCGTTACAGGTAGATAAAATACTTTTGGGCTGCATCATAGAGTCTCATTAATTTATGGGATCTGGACAGCTTTTGGAAATTCCTAATGAAGTACTGTGGTAGTAATTTCGAATTATACAATAATAGGTGTGTCGTAATGAAATTCCCATATTGTCTATAGGTCGCAGTATTATTCAAATGCTCACCTTTGAAAACTAGTGTGAAATGACTGTTGCAGTGAAGAAAACTTCTCCTTATAAACAAAGTCATCAACTAAGCTGTACACTCGTCAATATATGTTACAGTGGGTAGAACAGTCCAGAATCATTTCCGTTCAGAGGTCAATATTTACTGAATAACGTGAGAAAGTTACTTAATGCAAATGAGGGTTTAAAGTGGAAAACTAAACAAGGGACTTACTAAGGAGATAAAAAAATAAAACTGCGTGATACATGATTTACATAGGAAAGTCAAGGCTTTATGATAATCATGGCAAAGACAAACGTTAAACATACATTTTTTGGACATAGGGCTAGTTTGACCTCGATGACCTGTACTTCAGCTATATCCAAATACTTTGATCTCATTCCCTTTGAATGACTTGGTCAAAGACTGTTGAGGATTTTGAAAGAGTTCTCAAAAGAGGGTGAGTGGCCTGAATTCACATGGTGTTCTGCTACTGAGGTGAAGATTCACTTCCGTTCCCACTTTGCCAGCCAGACTGAGTAGTGTTCTTGAGCACGTTTCACGAGTGGGTGCATGGTGCGGCTGATATTTTCAGCTTCATAGAAGCAAGCAAATTGATATAGACATACTGATGTAGCCTAGTGCGTCAACTTGTCTTTCAGATATTGAGCGAAACGTTTCTTACAGGAGAAAATGACTCGGTAGTTGACGGCGAAATGTGAAGGTTTTCTGACTAACACTATCTACTACCTAGAATGCTAAATCTATCACGTGTCCTTCGAACTAAATAAATACAAACCTAATAATTATGTAACTGAAATCCCCGGACACTTATCTAATATTAATGCACTTGTTTGTCAGAGCACAGCTTTCTTCAAACACTATATAAAGGTACGATAATGTAAGTCAGTTAACCTTACTTCTACTAATACATTTAGGGCAAGCGGCTAAGTAACTCATAAGAATCGTAAATAATGCTTATTTGTTTTCCTTCATTTCAGTTTCATTTTAAATCTTTTCAAAGTAAATCAATGGAAAAGATACAGTCAGTAAAAGACATCAGAAGAATGTCATCCACAGTTAATCCAAATATGTTAAAAGAGTTAGAAATTTATGCTATGGCCTGGATAAATCAGTTGGATCAAGTAAGCAGTATTTGTTATTTTTATCAGTTTTCATTAGCATGGTTTGAACAGTCAGTATTTAAGTAGTACTTTTGACACCTGATGAATACCTACCTGTCAGTATCACCATAGGATCGATTAATACTGCAAAATGGTCCAGGTTGTCACATCTTGCATCAACATATCAAACTGCAACGGCAGTAAGATAAAAGAAATATAGGAATAAGGAGAGAATAGGTGATCAGTAGTCATAGAAAGTCATAAGAAAGGATTAAAAAGTGGTGAAATAATTAGGAAATGCAAGATGATAATTTTAATAAAGATTATACAAAGATGCTTCACCTCACTAATTGATTTCATTCGAAAGATGGCACCTACTGCTTAGTAGTATATGTTATCCTAAAAGCCTACATCCTAGATCATGAACTGTGTAGTATTTGAGAATTCTTACCATAATCAACTACCATAACGCCTATTGACCTTGCGTCTAACATCAGAAGACACTGAATGCTGATACTGTTCGGTAACCTCAAGATAGGATGAAACATCTCTCTATCGAACCTATGTTTCCAAACTCTTGTGATCAACGGAAGTAGTCTTTGAATTATTTTGTGGTGCATTAGAAACAATTCAACCAACGTTTCGTATCCCTTTCAAGAGTTATACAGTTTGAATAGTTCACTACAAGTAATATGAACTTTCAGTTTAAATTCGCCTAAAAACAAAGCACTACGTGATATATAGTACAGATATTTGTATGATTAATTAGCCTATATGCTCAACGTACTCCACAGAACCTTTAATATGTATGTGAATTTACACTCAATAGCAAAAATGCCTTTATCCTGTACAATTTATATAGCGATATCTTTTTTTAAGCATTATGTCATCGAATAGTCAATAAAGTGCTTGTAAAACTCCAGTTGGTGATCGCTTCTGGAATTTAGTTGACTATATTGTATAACGGGGTTTTGAAAATAAGCTTATGGAAATGACTCAGAGGTGTTCACCTGTAAGTCACTCTGAGTACGTTAATACCAAGATATCTAGAATTATATGGCTTATTTAGACAGTCTGGGTGAATTGTAGGCATATCTAGATAGAAAATTTTAACAGAGTTCAGTTGTAAACTTGTGTATATTTAGTAAATATAATTGTATTTGATGGAAAGATGATAGTCAAACCTTCATAACCGTGGGTCATGAAAGGCTCACACAGGAGATGCTCAAATTACTTGCCCGATGGTCCACTGACAGACCTGTGAGGTTCAGCTGTCTAGCTTAGACCTTAGCTTAATAGTGATCGCTAGGATTTTAATTTAGATACTTATTGAATGACGGAAAAACTGCTGTTCTCATCTTATTTCTTTGGTTCTCATCGATGTCTTCAATTTAGAGTTAGGGAAATCAGTTGGACAAAATAACAAGTTAATGTATATCTACACTACTAACTTAAGTTGTCAAACATTCCTTACTCAAATCTGCTACAATATTAGCGGTAAGAAAGTGTTAGTAAAACCGGTTAAAATGGAAAGTGCACATCAAAAGGGTGAATTATAGGTTTGTCGATCGTTGCACTGCTTCATAGCTTCCCTAATTCTTAATTGTAGTAATTTGCTGTGATCTATTTCTTCTACGCTATCAAATAGGTGAGAGAAACATTAATTTGCTTCTTGCAATCGAAGGTACAAAGCAATTTTAACTTTTCCTGTACACAATGCTAATGGTCAAACTGTTTACTTTTTAGGAAATTTATAATATCTACTGCACTAATGCTTGCTACGCCTTAAGTACTTATGCAATGGAAGTAAATTATGCTTATTAAATTCTAATATTTTTTCAAGATTTTTGTTGTTGAAAACTTTCAGTCATGATCAGCTGAAAATTGATGCTTGTCAGTATGATAAAATGCATGGGGTTCTGAATGCAGTGAATTCAAACCTTGAGCATTTATTTTCCACCTTACGGTTACGAATCGACGCATCATTTTTAGTCTACATTGATACATCATTTGACATGAAGGATTAAACTAGTTGACTTTTTCAAGCATTTCACACGCGTATAAAATTTCACTAATTCCATTTTTATTGATTTATATTAGATGTATCACACAGCCCATGTTGATATGACTATGGACAATGAATTATATCCGAAACGTAATCCAGTAAACAATACTGTTACGCTGTGATATATATATATATATATATATATATATATATATATATATATATCGCGGGAATCTACATAGACTGAACTGTGTTTATTTTACTTTTTCCTCGTAGTAACCAATCAATTTAACAGAAACCCAGGGAGTAGAAAATTTCTTATATTTATGCTTATGTACACAGTCAAGTTTTCAGTGTTCATTAAGCATATACTCTTATTTAGTCATCCCTTGGTTGACTTTTTCATGCATTCAACTTCACTTTTATTATTATCAGTCCCTTGGGTTCCTAATGGAACATAGGGCTTCAGTAGCACATCTCCAGTGAACTCTGTTCTCTGAAATCTTTTGAACCTGCCTCCACGACAGCCCACAAGCTCTCATTTCCTCCTCGCACGACCTCCTCCATGTCACCCTCAGCTGGGACGTCCAACTCGTCGCTTCCATGGGGATTCTACTCGAGGGTCTGGCCTGGCACGTGATGTCCCTAGTCGGCCTTCTCAGTGTATACCCAATCCATCTCCACTTCCTCCTGCATATTTGTTGAGTGATAGGTTCTTGGTTGGTTCGTTCCCAGAGTTCCTTGTTGCTTATTCTTTCTGGCAATCCATCTGATCTTCAGTAGCGAGCCAGCGTATTCAGTTGTTGATGGATGTCTGTAGTTTATTGTAAATGCCTTTCGTAATGCGGCGAGTCTCTGAACCATACAGAAGCACTGACTTGACTGAAGTTGGTGTTGAAAATCCGGATGTTGTTCCACATGCTGAGTGCAGTGCAGTAGATCTCCACACTGGTTTCAGGCTAATGAAGGCCTGTCTTGCTGTCTTTCCGATTCTGACTTTGACATCGTCTGTGCCTGTGCCGCCTGTAGTTGAAAAGTGCTGCCCTGCTTAAATAGGTGAAGGAGGTTACTTCCTTTAAGTTTCTCCCATTGATGGTGATTGGAGCTTGTTGTTGTTGTTGGAGTTGTTGGTGTGGTATCTTCATCACTTCTGTCTTCTCTATATTCACCTGAAGTCTGGTCTTCGCTGCCTCACCTCTTCTGTCAACTTGTTAGTTTTCGCCTGTAGGTTTTCAAGTTTGTGTGACATGAGGCACAAGTCATCGTTGGCGAAATCCAGATCTTGTAGGTTCTTTACCGCGGTCCAGCCAGCGTATCCCCCTCTTTTCGCTGCCCACTGTTTGCTGCATGATCCAGTCTAGTCGACGACAATCAGGAATATCATGGGGGATAGTAGGCAACCTTGTTTCACTCCTGTCTTCACTTCACTTCAGTGGCATCACTGAGCTTCCCATTGTGAATTACTTGGCTGGCATGTGGCGTCTTCATCTAGTTGTTGAATGAGGCTGATAAATGTTTGTGTTATTCCGTATTATTGAAGCAGTTTCCAAATTACTTGTCAGTCGACCCTGTCAAAGGCCTTCTCAAAGTCGATAGAGTTGAGGTAGAGAGTTGACTTCACTTTTGTAGTGTGAATTAATCATAAACTAGATAGTTGTGTTGTAGTGTTGACCCAGAGTTCAATTCACTCTTGTTTTTTTCTAAAGTAGAAAATTATCCGACAAGTAAGTGAGTTAATAGTTTAGCTCATAATTGACTCATTTAACTTACTTTCTACGGCATCAGACCTGATATCTAAAGGTTCCAGCTTCTGATTTTAGTCACTATCAACCTCATAAAAAGAGGTCGTCAAATAGAAAACTAGATTTTTTGTCGTAAAGTATTGTCGATAAAAGTAGATTTCCAAGCTCAACTTTTGATTTCCACAATTTGACAGCAGCGAAAACGAGTACGTTTAGTTTCCTCTAGTCTCAGGTTGTCATAAAGTGTGCAAACAATAAATGATTACCTAACTGGACAAAATAATCTCTTTTAAAAATAAAGATCAAATGTATTTTTATGGTTGTTAAAATAAGTTTTATTTTTAAGCTAACTGATGGGCAATTAAAGTATAGAGTTTTTATGTAACTATATTTTCTGTTTATTCTTTACTCTAAGTACCTTCTGTTTCGAGCAACAGTTGAAAGCAGACCAAAAGCATTTGACTGAAACGCTCAAGAACTATTTTCTGTTAAAAGTAGTTCTATATATATATATATATATATATATATATATATATATATATATATATATATATATATATATATATAATCAATGTCTCAAGTAGTCAGTTGTTGAAAATAATCACGTAAAAAATAATTACAGATGAAGAGAGAAAGAACGAGATAGCTAAAACTGCGATAATAAAGACTTAACTAATAATTGCAAGAGTTTGTGGGATGAAAGAGAGGAAAGCTCCATCTTTTACACAAAGAAGTCATACAGATGACCAGGGCGAAGAAAGAGGCTGCACGAATTTATTCTGAACACATAGACGTCTTGTTAAGGTGGATTCTTATGGTTTCTGCTATATACAGAAGACGAACTCATAGAGCATGGGGGAGATTTGAAGGATTGTGATATGTAACTTTAAAGGCATTATTATTTTAACAACTCGGGGACCAGTGCCAACCAAATAAAGGAATATTGAACTTTATATCGGTATTGTCTGCCCTTAACTATGACAAATAATGTTCGTCAAATATTTATGCCAGCCCAAAACAAATATAGTTTCTTAGAAAGGTGGCTGTCCAGAGGTAGAACTATTCTGAACACTCCATTATTCATTTTCATGAAGTCAGTTTATAGTAGGTTTCAGTTTATTTTGGTATTTTGAAGCCCACAGAGAATCGTTTTGTATTCTAAGTTCTATTAGCCGATATTTTGGGAAAAGGTTACTAACGTAGATAGTCATTTGAAAATATTCCCCAATCAAAATCTCGTGTTTCATTATACATGCTGCTGACATGTAATATTATTGAAACATATGTGAATCAGTTTGTGTTTTGCTGAGAGATAATGACAATTTTGATGAAGGGAAATACTGTTTACTTCAGACTGCTGGTATGATGCGTGGTCCATTCTAGTTTTTCTGTCAGCTTCAGCTGTAATATCAGGATAGGGGCTATGTTGTTTCAAAAAATCTCACTGACTACCTGAATTTATTTGTCTTTAAAGATGAAGAAAATGTAATTCTCAGGCTGATGAGGTGAAGTTGAACTTTCATGAAAATTTCAAATCGACAATTTTGCTACTGGACAACTATTTTTGTACTTCCCTAATTTGTCTTACCCATAAATACCACGTCGTCACGTTCCCAGTAGTAAATATTTTTAGAAGTTTAATTTATTTTGATTCACAACAGGTGATAATCATTGCTGATCAGATCAGAAAGGAAGCTGAAAATACAGGTCCACGGGTGGAGTTGGACTATTGGCGAAGACGGATGGCTACGTTCAGTACAATTCTTGAAGAGATGAATAAGCATAACTGCAAAGTTGTATTCGGCATACTATCATCTTCGAATAGTCCTTCAGTTAAGGTTAGTTGCTGAATATTATATGCAATTGGTAATATACTGTGAATACTATAATTTTTACTAGACGGTATTTAATGACATAAGTTTCTAATAAAAAAACCAGTCCTGGTAGTTTCTGTTAATTTTTTTCTAAGATAATTTATGAGGTTGACTTAAAAGTGGTGTTTAGTGGTTTTATATAAACTGGCGTTCCAATGTACGACGAACACAATGACAGTTTAAATACGGAGGTACTTTTGATGAGGCCATTATATGATGTTAAACATCGCTTGGTAGTAGGCTTTATTTGCACGAAGTTTTGAAATAGCTGATAGTCGACTAGAGTGCAGATTGTAAGTACTACAACTCATTATGTGTTAACCACAGGTTTTTTAAAGAAGGGATTCTTGAGTGTATAGCCAATTTTTTTAAAGCTCAGTTCAACATCGTTACGTCAAATAAACGAATACCACTTAGGAATGAAGGTCCATTTTCATTTCTGCTTGTTTTGAACCGGATGGACATAGGGAGAATGAACAATAACAATACAAATTTTGTTTTCATTTTGTTGACTAGTACAGTTGAGATCTTTATTTAGGCTGAGGTAGGGACTCTTTGTTTAGCATTGTGTTATGAATGAACAATGTAGCGATTCCTACTGACATTAATTCTCTTTCTGCTCTGGATGCAACATTACAAATAACTTGTCTTTGCGTAAACTGACATCAGATTCCCAGAGTTTTGTATAAGACACCGGTTATTCGTATTATACACGAAGTGATTCTGAATTTCCAAAACTTCACTGTTGCAACTTCGTCCTGTCCGTTCCATGATGACAAAGTGGAATCATAACAAATAATGAATTTAACTTTATTGCTTGTATTACCCCGTCGTTCAGTGAAACGAATTGATCGATCTCTATTGGCTTATGGGCTCCAGCGGTGATGGCTCGATATTGCCTGTGTTTGAATTATATATTAATGGTGAATAGTGGCGAGCAATGGAATCCAGGATGCGCGTTCCGTCCCATTTGGGACTCGTCAGCTGGACGTACCTACCTCCCAGTGAGTGATGCTGCTCCCTCTAAGACTTGAACTCGTAACGACTGCTTCAAACTCCAGAGCGTTATCCAATAGATCACCGAGTCACGACACCCAGTTCTTGTGCAACGGGTATAGTTTTAATGTTTTTGCTTGTATTATCCCGAAAAGCATATCCTGGATTCTACTGCCAGCCACTGTCCATCATTAATAAATAATGAATTTAGGTCGGCAATCAGTACTGTAATCTATTTTCCAATTGATATAAAGCAATAGACTTAAGAAATCATTGGAACTGGATGTGCAGGCTGAACCATGGAACGATAACAATATAAAGGGATGAAAACGTTTCGAACACCTCCAATTACTGTCCATAAACCCCAGTAATTAATTATGGTACAGAGTTTGCGGTAGATTCGTATTTTTGTAACGCTAAGTTTTATAAACCTCCAAGTAATAAGTCGAAAAAAACCCTATGAATGCAATCAAAGTAGACTATAGCAAAAGGCATAGACTAATAGATTTATTTAATAAAGCTAGACGACGCATACTGAAATGTCTCGAAATCCTACTTTGCTTTTTACAACTTCTTTAGATTGCATGTTCATAAGACGTCAGTGTTTAAAAGTTACCTCAACTAACTGCTATTTTGTTTTCATATCTGCTAGCTACCTACTGGAAATTTGCTCCATCTTTTATGGATCTTTGATTTAACTGTTCTCCATATTTCTTTTCAGAAATGGCTTAAACTGGAATCCACAGTAATGGATTATACAAATGAAGCAAAAAGTAATTTAAAGTTTTTGTGCACATTAGAAGAATATTGCGAGCCACTGTACAGATGTGATCCTGTAAGTTCATATATTCATCGTTATTATCACTATGCACTTAATAAATTAAAATGTATGCCTTAGATTTGATTAGGACGTCAATCGGACACTGAATTTTTTAAGAACTTTTCCTAGGATCCGGATCTATTCCTTGCAAACATATGTTAAAGTATAGTAGCGATTTTGATCTTTGTAATAACTACATATATTACAAATTAATTCGTAATCGATTCAAATTGTCCCCTTAATACTTGAATGACCATAAACTTTGTAATACTGGAAGGAGTAACCTGTATCAGCTAACCTTTTCTGATGACGTGTAAACTGATATCTACTTGGTGGCTAGCACTAGAATCCAGGAGGTGCGTTTCGTCTTATTTGGGACTTGTCGGCTGGATTTACCTGCCTGTCAGTGAGTGATGTTGTTCCCACCGAGACTGGAGGCCCAGTAATCATTGCTCCAAACGCCAGAGCGTTATCCACTAGGAGATATTAATTGTTCGATCGAAATAACTGTTGAGACATACAACTGAGCAACACGAGTGGCTAGAAACCACTTAGACTGATCTGTAGAGCATGTTAATCAAATCAGAGTGAACCAAACAACTGATAGCCATTTCGTTTGTTTTTGGTCAAGCTCATCAGTAGTGCATGTCAACAAATTCAGTTGACAGAACCTGAGTTTGGCTAACCGGCTTGGATAATCTGTTTTTATTTGCGGTGGTAATTTATTATCTTTATGTTGTACATTTGCTAAGTCTTATGAAGTGACTGTCAAAGAGTTCGACTTTATGAAAGAGAAATTATAGCTTGCAAGTTAGCAGCTGTTAAGTGGGCTATTGAACTCTTGGCTGATGATTCACCTGTGATGGAACATGTATGTTATCCTTTCATTTTAAAGGAAGTTTCCGTGGGATTGCAGGTTTACCGGTTAATAGCTGCGAAAAATGCGGCGATAAAAATGTAAGTTAAACTTCGAGTTATTACGCTTGAAAAAACTCTGCAGATGTTAGGGATCGACAATAGATAAAGCTAAAAATTTTCAACTTTTTAACAGCAGCAATAAGAAGAGAGTTTTCGCAGTGTACGGAAATCAGCTAAACAAAACGGAAAAGTTGGAGGGCACAAGATAGTTGTCTGCTAACCAGAAGTGTCAACCCTAGACATTTTCTTCTAACGAACCTGCGAATTTCAAATCTCATGGCTATAATGTTAGTGTTGAGCGTACAACCAAAGTTGAATGTTCAGTTTGTTTAATAACTTTTCAACTTTTACCTGTTACTTGAGAATTGGGAGAAGAAGGAAATGATTCACTCAATGAATACTTCCAGAGTTTTGAGTATTTGTTTAAGTGATGTCAGTTGTGAATGCAAATTATCGTTTAACTGGTAAACTTACCATAACCGAGAGTAAGAATTATGATGAAAACCCATTATAGTGAAGTACATCATCACCTTATTTATATTTATTTGTCTTTTGCAGTAAAATTCACTTTACCTTACATTTTTGAAATTATACAGTTAAAACAAATAAACAGTTGATTCTATTTTATAGGTTGGCATGTTGGATAGTGTACCCAAACTTGTGACAATGATTCGCTTAGTCTATGAGGTGTCTGCATTTTATAGTACACCGGAAAAAATCACCTCACTGTTTGTAAAGGTTACCAATCAAATGATAGCCGCATGTAGAGCATATATTACTAATAATTACCAAAGTACAATATGGACAGAGAATTCAGAAAGCCTTTTAAAAAAAATTACAGACTGTTGTAACTTAAATCAAACATATAAGAATTCATTTCAAAAGATGAAAACAGAGCTGGCAGCCAAACCGAACTCGAAACAATTTGATCTATCCGAAATGCATATATTTGGTAAATATGATTTATTCTGTCGAAGATTGGATGAGATTAATGGTATATTTCAAATGATTTCATCATATTCTTGTTTATTGACGTCTAAAATCGAAAAATTGGAACCTCTAATTGGTCAGTACAACCTAGCTGTAAGTAAATTACGAAATAATGATTACGACTTCTTGGATCAACGCAAAACTGAAGTTGATGACTGTTTAATGGAATTTAAAGGAAAGATGAATGATATTCGAGTAAGTTCACCTAAGTATTATCCCCCAAATTCTGTTTTTTTTGTGATGTGTATAAAAACTTATGTATTTTGAAGTCAGTTGGGATTTTATTTTTGAGGTAGTATTTATCACGGACTGACACCGATTGGAGAACTATTGAAAACCTCGGGGCACTGGACAGCTGTTTCTACCTAGTGTGGAACTCCTGAACAGCACGTACTCACTACCCGGCTAGGGATCGAACTCAAGTTTCACTGCGAACGCGTTAGGCATCCAGCTGGTGTGTCAGAGTTCCACTTTTTTCGGCTCGCGATGTAGCGCACCTATTATCCAAGGTCTTCAGTTGACATCATCTTTTGTCACAGCCATTCGATGATCTCAAAGTCTCAATGGTTCTCCAACTGATGTCAATCCGTGATGAATACCACCTTGAAAATGTATGTATTCGATGATCTTCCTTTCTCAATTAAGGGTTGAACGATTGAGTGTATCATTTCAGTTACCTCCTTCTTATCACAATTTTCTTGTTTGACGTGAGGCAGTTCAATGCTGTCTTTTCATTTGTACTGATTTGATGATTTGTGATACTAACAACAGACAAATGAATATCTATGTTTAGTGTATACAGCTCTATTCAACGTAAAAGTTCTCAACATTGTTCTCTCTTTATGACTGAAAGCTGACATCGAAGTCGATCACGTATTAGTTTCTTTCTGACATATTGATTGAACTAAAAATTTCTATGAAATTGCACCCTGTAGGCATATCTTTTATTTGCAGGGGTTCAATGAAAGGATATCTTTTCCTCAATTACATTGTAGTTCACAAGTACAAAATTAACAAAATATTGGTAAAAATTCAACTCAGTAAACCCGCATGATAGGTTTGTTTACTGAGCTGTGGTTGACACAAATGTAAGAGCTGTTCAGAGGAAAGTAAATAAAATTGTTCTTTACGTTAAGCTCAAAGATAATCATTTGTGAGTGAATGATTGAGGATCGGAGAGTTGCTGAAGTATCAGATAATCTAAAGTTTCTGCATCTACGTTTCATTCTTGCTGCCACAACCAAACGTGTGTTACTTCAGGGATATAACGTTTATAATACAGTGTTCAAGTTAGAGAATTAACCACGTACTGGTATCATGAATGACTTGCTTGAGGACTACATTTTGTATACGAATGGGTTACAAGTGCTCACCTTTGATCAAAGTCCATCGATCAAGTTGCCAATGAGGTTCAGTTCTCAGTGAGAGCAAAATCACTCACTGGGGCGCTAGGACATCCCACTGACGAGTACCAAATAGGACGAAACGTGCGTCTTGGATTCGTCTGCTAGCCACAAGCGAGTTAATTATATTCTTTTGTGTCACAACAGATTGGGATACTATACTACTTCCGAATCTTGACGAACAAGTAAATATCTATGAATATTAACATGGAACAAACATGCAATAGAACTGATAGGCAATTAGTCCTTTCATCCCCTTATGCAGCTAGGAGTTCTGTTGAAGACTAATGTAAAATATTTATCAACTTGAAGTACAAAAACCTATTGTGAGCAGCTGGGCTTACTCATATAGCGTATACTCTGAAAAAGAATTAAAGACAAAGTAATAGGATAAAACATTGTTCTTGAAATAGTAGTAAAGCTCAATGACAAACTTTACGTATACTCGGATGAAAGTTTCACATCGCTCTGTTGAAGTGGCATGTGACTTTGTTCTGTTGTTTGTTATAAAATGACGATACCAAGAACGATTTGTTTCCTCTAAGCTGTTGTATATGATGAATATGCTAATCGATTTTCTACGAGAAGTGCTGCACACATTCTCCTTTAACTTGTGTAGCCATAGAAACATTCAACACATTGTCATCATTGTTATTCATAGCATATCCTAGTTTCATCGTAGTAAACACACCTTTTGGGACTAAAATGGTATTAATAATCGCTTTTTTCAAAAATAAATGGAATAAATGGAACCAAGTTTGTGGCATTAAAAGAATCAATTTATCACCATGACTTACATCTAACCACATGCTTGTCTTGGACTTGTTTGATATGCAATACTCATAACTGAAGGAAAATATTTACGGTAAAACTTACCTTTCTCTGACATTGGTTCTGGTAAGAATCGTCGAAAATGGAATGAAACATTTACTGTATTTTAATTATATTCTTTTTCAGGATATATTTAAGTATACTTTGCTAAGAGATTTCACTAACTCCGGTGTGGTCGCTTTCAGTCAAAAAAGCTTGACTTTAATAAATTTCTATTAAATTCCTTTCAAATAGTTTAGCTCAATAAATAAAATCACAGTATTTGGACTTCATTTTTCAAGAACCTGTCAACAGTTCGTCTTTCAATTGGGTGCAGTTTTAGTACTTGTCAAAACTTTTCAGCTACTGAGGCAGGGTAACATAGGTTAAGCGACTCATTTATTCAATCCTATACATAGGTGGTGCGTTTAAAACAGCTGTGCTTGAAACAACAGTACCTGTAGGTGTTGTTACTGTATCAGTATAAAGTTATATTGTTCAAATGGTTAAGATTTCCCTAATATCTGTTTTATTATCCATTTCATTAGTCCCATATAGATAGTAGATAGTGTTGTGGGCTTGGTGCGTTTAAAAGATTAAAACAAATTGAAAAGGGAAGAATTTGGTGAAATATATTCGGTGGCCCATAGTTTAAGTAGGCCTCCTCTCGTAATATTTCACTACTTTAACTTCGGGTATTTTAATATCAGTGAGCCCCACTCAAAATCTCAGACATTTTTTGCTTTCATCTAAATGAGGTTGTAGTGGGCTTCGAGTCTCCTTTGCTTTGTCTATTTTTTTCATTGATATCTTCTAATACTTGATGTTGTCTCTTTCAATTATAATTCTCTGCAATGTTTCTTTTCAGACTAATAATACCGTACATACTACTCGTTGACTGATCGAAAATCAAATAATTTCTCATCTCTGTATGGTTTGGGTTAATCAGACATTCTTACTGCATATTGATATCTGGTGCATGAAGTAGATTTCATTGACGAGACTGTTTTTTTTCGAAGTCTGAGCAGAGTAATAGCAGAAGGTGAAGAATAAAAAAGGCGTTACTTCCTCAGTCAACTTACTCATGTTTCTTTCAATAACTATGAATTAGATTTAAAAGCTTTATGCTGGATTGTAGTTAAACTTTCTGTGAAGTGATTCCCGTTGTTTGTCTCTATCTCATCTTCATCGGTCATATGTTTAATTTCGTCCAGAGACTTATGTTGGATATTTGTTTGGAATTTGACTTTATTTAGTCTGTTTCTTTGTTTGGCGCCATCTTCATCCACGTAACTATAATACTACTGGCTTTGAAATGTTTTATATAAATTGAAATATATATTTGAAATTAAGGTATGGCCCTACAGAAAATGATCATGAAAACAAAGCTTAGCTTCTCTAAGGGAGTGAAGTTAATTTGCTATATGAATGCCATAAATAATTTTTTCTTTCTTTATAAACGATTTATATACAGACTTTGGTCTGTAGATTTTCCAAGTAGTCGGTAAAACATTTGAGCGTAATTTGATATTACCCGACGAAATAAACAATGGATAACTTGTACAGGTTTTATTCTCTAAAGAATCGGCTTCCATTAGGTTGTGAAGCGTCAGAAATCCATTTTTCTGCCGCAAATATATTTTATTGGAAAAACAATTTCCCAATGCTCAACTTATTGAATTCTACCGGTCAAATTTTAGTCCTTGAGTTTAAGATGATAATTCACATTATTAGGTGTACCCATTTATTCTCAAAATTTTTATACTCATAAGAATTTGTGTTTTTATATGGTGCAACTGGTCAACTGTATTCACCTTCACCTTTTATAGGCATTTAATATATTTTTCCAAAATACTCATAACCAGCTGTTCAAGTATATTCAAACAATGAGTTTCCTACTTAACAGAGTATCTGTCCCAATCATCATCAGGATTAATCAAAAACACCCATCGATGAAGTAACCCGTTTTTATCAGTATCCGGATGAAATTGACTTAAAGAAGATGTAATTTTACACGAGTTTGAAATTAAATATAACCTTGCTAACAAATCAAAATAAACACGAAGCCAGGTTCTTTAGTAATATCCCTCAAAATGTTTTCTTCTGTCAGTTAGCATTAATGAGTTTCACATCTCTACTTTATCGATTATTTATCTATTTATGATACGATTTACTCATTTTGTTGTATTAATTTCTTGCCAAAATCTAGCTTGGTCTAAGATCGTTACTTGAGTCAGAAATGGACAAGTATCATGATCTACGCCGACGTTTTCATATTATAGAACAGTTTGAAAAGTTACAGCTACCAGACTTAGGTATAGATGAAGCTTATTCGAAATCATTGCATCATTTTGATCGACTTATTGAACAAGTTGGCAAAGATTATAGTAAATTTAAAGAATCTCCACCGATTGGACGTGATATGCCACGAGTAGCAGGTTTGTTATTGTCTTTCCTTCCACATTTCAATATTTCGGTAAAGTGCATTATTTGGTTTTGTCTAAAAAACTGATATCTTTTTCCTGTAGCATAATTTAATGCAGTAAATTTATCGGACAGCCTAAGCTGTAACACAGTCTGAAACATTTATCTACTTTAATTAACTACAAAAGTGGTGCATTCTGATCTAATTAGGTTATTAAAAATGAATTTATGAGGTCTGTTACATCTCTTTGTAATCAAGTGCATCCTATATTTCCTAGTGTCTAGACTTGTTTTTCTTACCGTATGAATTCAAGAAGGCTGTATCTTACTCATATGATATCTTAAAACAAAAACTCATTTTTACGTTGGAATTCATCATAGACTGACATTACTTGGAGGAATGCATTGGAAACCTGGGAGCACTGGACAGTGCACTGCTGAGGAGTCCTACACTAGGACCAAACAGCTGTCCAGTACTCCAAGGTTTCCTATGTTCCTCCAACTAATTATCGATCCATGATGTAGTCCAACCTAAAATCAATCAATAAGTCTGCACAAATCTCTAAACAAAAAACTCATTTTGTTTATTTAAAAAGTGACAGAAATATATAGCTTATTATATGATTCTTCTCTATGCTGCATAACCTCATTATCATGGATAATCCTAGAGTTTACTACTAAGTATTTTAAACCAAGTATTTTTCAATTATTCGGGATTCTCCACTACTGGATTTTAAAGTTCCCTGTACAATTCAACTCTGTAGTTGAACAATATACTGACTGTTATATAATCTAATTAGCAGTCTTGAACTCTTTACGCTGCCTCCAAGTTTTTGTATCAGTTAACTGACCCCATTTTTTCTCTCTCCAGTGATGTACATATGAATATAGATAAGTTGTCATACACTTAGTTACGTTGACAAATGTAAACAATTCAAGAACGAAGATATTTGCAGGACAAAATTAGCTCATTTTATTTCATGGCCTCTCATCAGCTGCAAATAGCCTACAATTGAGGTGAAGTATTAGTAGTAATAGTGGCCCAATATACTTTAAATATCTGGCAGTAAATGAACATTTGAAACTCAGGACTAACCATACGGTAGCGAGTCAAAGGAACACAAGATTAATAGTCACAAATCTTAGTTAAAATCGATGGTAATTCCTACATATCTGATGAGATAGAAAATTCTGGAGCTATGGGAAGATGGGGTGGGGGACAACAAAAAGGAATACTAAAGAAGGGGTTGTTAACGAGCTAGCAAGTTACGTAATTACATGAGAGAAACTGGAAAAACGTTACGCTAAGAGTAATTAACAGTCAGTAAGTAATCGATGAGGAGATTATTATTATTATTAGTCCCTTGGGTTCCTAATGGAACATGGGGATTCAGTAGCACATCTCCAGTGAACCCTGTCCTCTGAAATCTTTTGAACCTGCCTCCACGACAGCCCACAAGCTCTCATTTCCTCCTCGCACGATCTCCTCCATGTCACCCTCAGCTGGGACGTCCAACTCGTCGCTTCCCATGGGGATTCCACTCGAGGAACTGGCCTGACGCGTGATGTCCCCAGTCGGCCTTCTCAGTGTATACCCAATCCATCTCCACTTCCTCCTGCATATTTGTTGAGTGATAGGTTCTTGGTTGGTTCGTTCCCAGAGCTCCTTGTTACTTATTCTTTCTGGCAATCCATCTGATCTTCAGTAGCGAGCCAGCGTATTCAGTTGTTGATGAATGTCTGTAGTTTATTGTAAATGCCTTTCGTAATGCGGCGAGTCTCTGAACCATACAGAAGCACTGACTTGACTGAAGTTGGTGTTGAAAATCCGGATGTTGTTCCACATGCTGAGTGCAGTGCAGTAGATCTCCACACTGGTTTCAGGCTAATGAAGGCCTGTCTTGCTGTCTTTCCGATTCTGACTTTGACATCGTCTGTGCCTGTGCCGCCTGTAGTTGAAAAGTGCTGCCCTGCTTAAATAGGTGAAGGAGGTTACTTCCTTTAAGTTTCTCCCATTGATGGTGATTGGAGCTTGTTGTTGTTGTTGGAGTTGTTGGTGTGGTATCTTCATCACTTCTGTCTTCTCTATATTCACCTGAAGTCTGGTCTTCGCTGCCTCACCTCTTCTGTCAACTTGTTAGTTTTCGCCTGTAGGTTTTCAAGTTTGTGTGACATGAGGCACAAGTCATCGTTGGCGAAATCCAGATCTTGTAGGTTCTTTACCGCGGTCCAGCCAGCGTATCCCCCTCTTTTCGCTGCCCACTGTTTGCTGCATGATCCAGTCTAGTCGACGACAATCAGGAATATCATGGGGGATAGTAGGCAACCTTGTTTCACTCCTGTCTTCACTTCACTTCAGTGGCATCACTGAGCTTCCCATTGTGAATTACTTGGCTGGCATGTGGCGTCTTCATCTAGTTGTTGAATGAGGCTGATAAATGTTTGTGTTATTCCGTATTATTGAAGCAGTTTCCAAATTACTTGTCGGTCGACACTGTCAAAGGCTTTCTCAAAGTCGATGAAGTTGAGGTAGAGAGTTGACTGCCATTCTATGCTCTGTTCCATGATGATGCGTAATGTGGCGTTGCAATTTGGTCCGCACATGATTTGTTCTTCCTGAAGCCAGCCAGCCTGTTCGGGTCGTAGTTTCGAATGCAGTGCATCCTTTAGTCTCTCCAGAATGATGCGGCCTAATATTTTGCTTGCTCTGGGTGGACAGGAGAGTGATTCCGCGCCAGTTCTTGCAAACGCTGAGGTCTCCCTTCTTCGGGAGTTTGACAAGGTAATTCTTCTTCCAATCGCCAGGTACCTTCCCTTCCTTCCACTCCTTCTGCAATAGTGGTGTAGTGTGAGCATTTCCGCTGTTGTCTCTGCGTCTGTTTTCGGTTCTTCTGGCGGGATCCCATCTGGTCCTGCTGCTTTCCCGCATTTCAACATTTTTATGGCGTTCAGGACTTCCATTTTTGTTTGAGGATTTATGTTCACTTGTAGTTCAGCAGCTGGGCTGCAGGTGGTATTTCTGGACGAAGTGCAGGTGGTGGTTGATTCAAGAGCTTCTTGAAGTGGTCGGCCCATTGTTTCCTTTGTTTCTTTTCTTTCGTAATTAAATTTCCGTCATCATCTTTTATTGGTTTCGTCTGCATTGATCTCTTCCCAGATAGTAACCTGGTTATTTGATACAATGTTGTCAGGTCTCTGTCTCTCCTACAAACAGCCTGTTCTGCTTCACTTGCCAGTGTGTCGTGGAAGTGTCTTTTGTCTTTCCGTCCACTCTTATTCACTTCTTTGTCCAGTGTAGTGTTTTATACATTGTACTCAGTTCCTCTTGTCGTTGAGCATCCTTGCACTGGTTTATCTTCTGCTTCACCATCCTCCTCTCCTTGCTCTATCAGCTTCCAGGTATCCGTCGAGATCCATTCCTTGTCTTCTTTCTTCTTCCTTCCTAATACTGTTGTGCAGGTTTCTTTCCACATCTCTTTCAAAGACTTCCAGTGTTCTTCCACACAGGTTTCTTTGGGGATGTTGCTCGATATCTCTCATTTTGTCTTGATGGCTGCCGTTAAGATCTCCTTTGTAGTTTCATCCTTCAGTTTCCGAGTGTTGTACTTGAACTGAGGTCTATCACCAGCTTCCTTGAAGGCTTTCAACTTGATTTAGAAGGTTCCTTGCACTAGACAGTGAGTGGTGTGAACCTACATCTGCTCCTCTTCTTGACCTTGTGTTAAGTAGACTGCGTCTCCATTTTCTTGAGATTGAGATAAAGTCGATTTGATTTTTAGTGTGTCCATCTGGTGTCTGGTTAAATCCATGTTGCTTTGTGGATATCCTTGTGCTTGAACACAGTGCCTCACTGCAATCACCAAATCGTTGAGTGCACAGAATTCTGCAAACAATTCTCCATTCTCGTTCATCGCCTCACCGAGCGCTTCTCGACCCATGGTTAGTTCTCTTCCTGTGTTGTCTGCTCCCAGTTTGGCATTCATGTCGCCCATTAGAATTTTGATATCGCCAACTGAGGTCTTGTCCAGTGTTGATTGCAGTTGTCTGTAGAAATCCTCCTTTTTCTCTTGCTCTGCATTATTTGTAGGTGCATAATGTAGCATTGTATGTTTGTGACCTTCCTTCCTTTTGAGTTGAATCTTACTGTCATGATCCTGGAGGAGATTAGTTCCCACTGCATGAGAGCCTTCGATGCTGTTGGGGACATCATGATAGCCACTCCGAAACTCAGTGTGCTGGTGGTTGTCGTCTGGGTGACCGGAGTAGATTATTGATTCTCCAGTTGACAGTTTGTAGAGTCCACTTCCATTCCATTTGCTTTCGCAAATCCCAAGCACTTCGATGTGATACCTCTTCATCTCGTTTGCAATCTGGGCTGCGTTGCTGGGTTCAAACATGGTGCGGACATTTTATGTTCACACGTTTACTTTCGCTTTCATTGAGAGAAGACATATCAACCAATTGGCTTCCCGAAGGCAGGTTTTCACCAACTGGCGTCATTTCGCCTCTCCGATTCCAGCGAGGAATAATTTTGTTTTTATTTTTTATATTTTGTTTGTGCTTTGAAGTTTCTTTAGCGGTTAGATTTGTTTTAGGGGGTAGGGTTGCTAGCCCTATGCCCAACCCTCCCTGCTTACCCGGGCTTAGGACCGGCTAGTAACTAGTGAACTAGTTAACCAGGCGAAGAGATAATACAGTCAAAAAAGGAAGAACATATACATACATGTTCAAAAAAAGATATACAATTACCAAGGTAAAGAAAGGCTAATCATAGGCTCTTTCTGAGTACATAAGTCAAGTTGAAAACGTTTGATGGTGAGAGCTTCTTGAAACCGTAATAAACATGGCGTTCTTTGTTTGTTGATTATTCTTGAAGGACTGAAAAACAGAAAAGTTAATTTAATGGTTTTGCTAGGTATGATGAATTCCCCACAGTCAAGTGAGGTCGAATATCATAGATAATTTGATAGGTTTGTATTTTTAATTTTTCAGAACTGTGAAATACAACCTATTT